CAAACTGGCCCATGACAGAGTCAAGGAATCTCCAATTGAATCTGTCAAAGGCCTTCTTCGCATCGAGGGCCATAATAACAGATACCCATTTATGCTCATTTATTCTATGTTTTAAGGTAAATATCCTACGTGTGGTAGTACCTCTCCCTCTCACAAATCCAGACTGATCAACATCAATCAGTTCTCCAATTACCTCTTTAAATCGATTAGACAATATTTGAGAAAATATTTTCATATCTAAATTAATAAGAGATATAGGTCTATAGTTAGCAATAAGTGTTAGATCTTTCCCTACTTTGGGTATAGGAATAATTGAAGCCAATAACATCTAATTTGGGAAGGGGTATCCACGGATACCTTCAACATCTCTAAAAGGATAGGGGAAATAAATCTAGAAAACGTTTTATAGAATATTGCTGAAAAACCATCGGGGCCCGGTGCCTTATTCAGTTTTAGGTTATCTATTGCTTTGGTTACTTCTGATAATAAAAATGGGGCATTCAACATTTCCAACTTCCTTTGATTAATTTTTGGTAGTTTAAGATTTCTCAAGAATTTATCAATTTCTTCTATACTCTTCCATACCTCCTCCTGATTATATAGGGATCTATAGAATTCCGCAAATGCATTTGCAATGTCATTTGGTGACGTTAAATGTTTATCCCCTAAGACGATTTTTTTTATAGATTTATATTTACGGTTATTCTTGATTTTATTAGAAAGATCTTTATTTTATTGTTATTATGGTACCATCTTTGCTTAAGAAATAATATATTTTTATTGATCATGTCAGAAATTCTATCTTTGATAATTTCCCTTAAGTTAGCTATTTCTTCAATTAAGTCTTTATTCACCATATTTTTATTTGAACGTTCCTTATTTGCCAATTTTATTCTTAACTCTTGCAAAGATTCTCCCTTCTTCCTTTCTCCCCTCTGCTGTTCTATGTTCATTCACACCCGCTACATTAGAAGAGGTTTCTGCTCGGCTCCAGTCCTCCCGCCCCACCACCTGCTCCCTAGATCCAATTCCCTCGCATCTCATCCGTACTCTGTCTTCTTCTCTTTCTCCACCTCTCACTAAAATTCTCAATCTCTCTCTCCCCTCTGGTATATTTCCATCGCCCTTCAAACATGCAACTGTAACCCCAATTCTCAAGAAGCCCAATCTTGACCCTAACTCCCCATCCAACGATTGTCCTATCTCGCTAATGCCTTTTGCATCCAAGATCCTGAAAGAATTGTGTGTAACGGCACCCCAGGCATAAAAGGGTTAAACCGCCGTTTAGTAGATCTTCCCTTCCAGAGACACAGGCACAGCTACTGCAGAACACCAAACTCCCGAACCGCATATAAGGGAATGCTCCAAACTCCCAAACTGGATACAAAATAGCACTCCAAACTCCCGAACTGGAACCTCACAAATAACTGCTAGCAGACGAATAGGAAAAGCACCCAAGCGGCTTACACTCCTAGCAATCAGTCTCTATCAGCATTCAGTAAATCCCCCCAAAGACGAGACAAGGCTCCGGGTTGAGGGTCAAGCAGTGGTCTGTTTAATGAGGGCTACCTGCCCAGTATTTATGCAGGTCTCCCACCTAGTGGAGACTCCCCTAGGTGACCAGATGAAAGACTGTGACAAAGACATTGCAGCAACCAATCACAGGGTACACACAGCCATTCCCCTTTTCTTACCCAGAACCCTCTGCTCAGGGAGATAATTATGAAGTAATTCAATTATCTCCCAGGACAGAGCCTAAACGCCATGAAAATAACAAAAGACATAAAAATACATAACTGGTACATTTTATAACATTTCACAGGCATTCAACATGTCCCCAGATAGCTAGGATCTGAGTGCACCAAAGTACCGAATAGCGCTCAGATCCTATGCACACAGTCCAATCGCCGTGGAGCCAAAGTGTTCACGAAGTCAGTTTTCATACGAATGAGCTCCACAGGATTCCTATCTGGGGTATGATGTATTCAGGTACAAACTACCGAATATAGGGCCGTTCGTGCACTTCTACCGAACAAGAAGGGAGGTCAGCGGCTTCAGCGGTGTTCGCGCCAAAATGTATCCGTTTTCAGTTCCATGAGTTGGGCATCGAACACCGCTGTGCGTTCGCGTGTTTAAAATGGCCGCAACCTCGTGTTCGTTATACGAATGGCGGCCACCCAGCATTCGTCAATTAAGCTGCGGTTAACCGCAGCTTCAGGGAGGTTAATTGCCGACACACTCCAGCTCCCAGGTGGTCCAGTCATTCATGCGTTAGTTCGGTAGATTGAATCTACCAAACACTGGGCAGAAAGGCACGAATAAGCCTTTTCTGCAGGGGGAAAAAAGAAGGCTTTTAACATGGGACCATAATCCAAAGGCAACAGGCGAGCAACCAGGCTTCTACAATGCAATGTGGCGAGATTGGTCTCTTTACATTGTGTCTGCCAGATTGACAGACTTCCTCGAGTCCAACTCTCTGTTAGACCCACTTCAGTCTGGTTTCCGCGCTAAGCACTCTGTGGAAACGGCACTGACCAAAGTATCCAATAATCTACCCGCTGCAAAATCTTGTGGTCACTACTTTTCCTTGACCTGTCTGCGGCTTTTGACACTGTTGATCATCAACAGCTTCTTCTCATCCTCCGCAATATCGGTCTACAAGATATTGCTCTCTCCTGGTGCTCCTCCTACCTCTCCCAGCGCTTTTTCAGTGTTTCTTTCTCTGGCTCTACTTCTTCTCCCCAACTCCTCTCTGTTGGTGTCCCCCCAAAGTTCAGTCCTTGGTCCCCTACTGTTCTCCAGTTATACGGCCTCCTTTGGTAAACTCATTAGCTCCTTTGGCTTCCAATATCATTTCTATGCAGATGACACGCAAATCTACCTGTCCTCTCCTGATCTCTCCCTGTCCCTCTTGATTAGTGTTTCTGAGTGCCTCTCTGCTATTTCAAACTGAATGGCTGCCCACTTCCTTAAACTAAACTTGACCAAAACTGAAATTCTGGTCTTTCCTCCCTCAAGTGTTGTTACTCCTGTGTCTGTCTCCCTCCAAGTCAACGGTGCTACCATCAGCTCCACCACGCAGGCTTGCTGCCTAGGTGTTCTCTTTGACTCAGACCTCTCCAAGCCTCATGTTCAATCTATTGCCAAATCCTGTCATTTCCATCTCAAAAACATTGCGTGCATCCGCCCCTACTTAACGCCAGATGCGACTAAGGTGTTGGTCCATTCCACTGTCCTTTCTCACCTTGACTACTGTAATCCGCTTCTCAGTGGTCTTTCGTACTCCCAACTTGCGCCATTACAGTCCATAATGAATGCGGCAGCGAGGCTCATCTTCCTGTCTGCCCCCTCCTCCCATGCCTCACCCACCTGTCAGTCCCTACATTGGCTTCCTATAAAATATAGAGCTCAATTTAAAATTCTGGTTCTTGCTTTCAAATCTCTACATAATGCTGCTCCCACCTATCTATCCTCCCTTATACACAAGTATGTCCCGTCTAGGCCCTTACGATCTGCTGAAGACTTACGTCTATCTTCTGTCCATACTCCCACCTCTGATGCTCGCCTTCAGGATTTCTCCAGGGCTGCACCGTTCCTGTGGAACTCGCTTCCCTCCACAATAGATGCTCACCCAATCTCCACTCATTCAAAAAAATCATTAAAAACCCACTTCTTCATAAAAGCGCATCAATTAAACTGTTAATAGCTCCTGACTGATTCCTCTTATGCAACTGTCACTAGTCTAATACTATCATTACCTTTTTGTGTCATTTTACCCCACTCCCTCTAGCATATAAGCTCATTGAGCAGGGCCCTCAACTCCTCTGTTCCTGTGCGTCCAACTTGTCTGGTTACAACTACATGTCTGTTCGTCCACCCATTGTAAAGCGCTGCAGAATTTGATGGCGCTATATAAATATCATCATAATAATAATAATAATAATTGCTTCTCCGTTGGGAATTGCCTTGGTTTTTGTTAAACCAGGAACGTTTATTCCCATTGGTATTGGACTTTTCAGAGTTATTATAAGAGGAATTAATAGGATTGCTTTTAGCATTTTCAAAAAAACCTTAGAATAGGTCCTCTTTTTCTGTTGACCTAACTGAATTTTAGTCTCTGACACCATTTTATCACCAGGTTTATTAACCTTTTGCTCATTTTAGTCATGTGCATGGTGTATAGTATACAATTTCATGCACTGACTGACTAGCCATTCTAAAGGTAACTTACAATCATAATTAGAGTTGAGCGGACACCTGGATATTCGGCAGAACTTTGAAAAAAAGTCCAGGTTCGGGCTCGAACTTCACCCCGAACCCCATTGAAGTCAATGGGGACCCAAACTTTTGGGCACTAAAATGCCTCTAAAAAACTCCTGGAAAGAGCTAGAGAGCTGCAAAAGCAAGTAAAATGGGGATAAGAGTAGGACAAGTGCCCTGCAAACAAATGTGGATAGGGAAATCACTTAAAATAACATAAAAATAAAAAATACAGCTGATCCATAAAATAGCACCAGATGAAATCTTTGATTTTAGCTTTGGAAGAACATAAATCAAAATTTAAAGCATGGCTGGCAGGAGGATCACCATAATTATCCATTTGAGAGATGGTTGGAATGCAGGGTATTCTCTTTCATTGTTCAAACTGAGCTCAACTCCTGATGCATGGAGAAAAGGCCTTCACAAGCCTCTGCTAATGTGTACATAGTTTATACTAAGTGACCCATAGATTGAGGAGGCCGGTGACCGTGGTGGTGTAGGTGGAAGCAGCGGTGGAGGAGGAGGAAGCAAACACTGTATATATATATATATATATATATATATATATTTTTTTTTTAATTATTATTATTTTAATTGGGGAAGCCCACAAAATATTGGGACATACAAAAAAAGAAACATTTGTGGCCTGCAGTGCGTTTCTTGCAGTCCTGATGCATGGAGAACAGGCCTTCACAAGCCTCTGCTATTGGGTACATAGTTTATACTAAGTGACCCATAGGTTGAGGAGGCGGTGACCATGGCGGTGTAGGTGGAAGCAGCAGCGGTGGAGGAGGATGAGGTAGCCAACGCTGTTTATATATATATATATATATATATATATATATATATATATTTTTTTTTTTATTGGGGTAGCCCCCCAAATATTGAGACATATAAAAAAAGACAACTCTGTTCCGCAGAGTAGCTGTTGACATTATAGTTGCGCAGGCACTTTGTTGACTCTAGAGAACCTCGGACCAATCGCACATCTCCGTGGCGGCGACTTTGCATGCGGATGTCATCCATATAAACTTTAGATGCCTGCACCTACCATGGTGACCACGGGTAATGGGGAATCAGGGTTCCATTCCGTACAGGGACCCTGAGAAATGGCTACCATATGCAAGGAAGGCAACAGGCGCGCAAATGACTCACTCCTGACGCGGGAAGGTAGTGACAGCAAATAACAATACAGGACTCTTTAGAGGCCCTGTAATTGTAATGAGTCTGTGGCGGAACCAGCCTCGCCATTGGGCATTGGAGAAGACTGATTGCCAGCATCCTGCCATGTGACTATGGCCCCTGGGATGTATTGCCCTTTAAGAAACTTATTTGGGCTTATTGCATTTTGAAACACTTTTTCTGCCCCTTTGAATTCATAGGTAGGTGTGCCCCTCCCCCATTTCATGTCTATTGTTCTTCAGCAGGGTGTTGTCCCAGGGACACTGCCAGACCAGTTTGAACTTGCTGTTTTGCCACTCCTTTGTTTCTCATCAGCCCTTGCTATGGTTTAATCCCATGGCGATTTGACTGTGTTCATGGGATCTGAGCGCTGTTTGGATATAGTGGGCGGTCAGATCCAAGCTATCTGAGGATAGGTCGAATGTGCGGGTTCTGTTCAATATAATGGGAATTGTGTATTTTTATGTGTTTTTACTGTTGTAAATGGAGATATTTTCTGTATGCTGGAGATAATTGGCTTACCACACCCAAGCCATGCTTGCAGTCGGTCAAAAAGGGATTTCCAACTAACTTTCGAACTACTGGACCAATTGGTATGATTTTGACATATGTTTGTATTTGGAGTATGCTGATTATGAAAATGTAAGTAATGTGAATGTGATGTATACTTATGAATATTGTGTAAAATTGTGTATTTTCCTGCCTGATATAATTACTGAACACATTGGGCTAACGTAATTATCACAGGCAGAGGGGAGGATTTTGTGTGTAATTGCTGGGAGTGTCTGAGTATTATACGTATTGATTGGTTGTTCTACAAAACCCTGTGGGCGGTCATTTCTGTGTAAGAATGTGCATAAAAGCAGAGTGTTTCATTAAAAGTTCAGTTCTACTTCACCCTCAATTTGGAGTGCTGTCTCTTATTAGGGGAATCTGCTACAAGGGATTGCTATGCTCTGCATACTCTCTTGCTATATTCACTGCTAAGCTCTTGTAAGAGCTTGTTCCTGTTTTGCTCTCTGAAGGAGTCTACAGTGGTTATGGTGTGTGCTGGAGTGCTGGAAACCCTCAGGAAGCGCTAGGAGCATCCTTCAACGGTGGTACCCAGTCGGGGTGCCCGTCGATCCATTACAAAGTCCACTTCAAATCCTTTAACTCTGATCAATTGGAGCGAAGTCTGGTGCAGAGTCACTGACCTGTGAGTGCTGCAGCTGAAACTCCGCTATCGCCTGCTGCTGCTCGCACAGTCTCATGAATCGGTGAGCGGGAAGGCCGAAGTTACACTGCAGCGCAGACAGGCGAGCAGCAGCAGGGTGACAACGCCAAAAGCACGCACAGCCGCTACAGTGAATGTCACATCCTTTTCCAAGATGCGGATCAATCTGGTGATGGCTTCTGGTATCCAGTACTCTTTTTTTTTCTGAAGCTGCATCAGGGTCCTGGTATGTGGCCACACAAACGCTGGTGCTCAACACCAGGGGGCGTGCGGTTACCCTGCACCAGACCCTGCTAATCCATTCCACACTGTGACTCCTAACATCCTAACATCAACAGCAGGCATACAGTCGTCGCACACATAAGGTTTGCAAAATATACTATGCAAACTCACTTTGTGTGTCAAAAAGGCAGGAAAAACGCTTATTACCACTACACCTGGTACAAGCTAGCCGAAAAATTATCCCACGCTAAGGTTCAAAATATACCTTTTGAAATACCCTGGGGTGTCTACTTTAAGAAATGGTAGGCCTTTGTGGGGTAGTTTGAATTTAAAACCTGCAAAGATGCTTGGAAATTGCACATAGGCCCAGCGTCAAAATTCAAAGTTCGGTAAAAACTGATATGGCTTGGTCTCCTATATGGCACTGTAGCGTCACGAAATATGGCCAAAGACATTCATTGGGGGGTGTCTTTTTACTCAGAAGACTTAGATGAGCATAATTTGGGGGGTTTGAACTTAGTGGCACATATGAAATATACAAAATGCCCAGCAAAAATGCAATCCGTATGTAAAAAAAAAAGCACAAAATTATTTTTTACCACATACTTTGGCATATATTGGTGAAAAATGGGGGCATGTTAAGGCACAATATGCACCTTATGAGATACCCTGGAGTGTCTACTGTTACAAATGGTAGGCCTTTGTGTTTTGTTTTTTTTGAACAGTCAAACTACTATAATACCCCTAATGGAAGCATAGGCTCATTAAATCCGTCTCTCAAAATTCTACTGTGAATACTGAAAAGGACAGGTCTCCTATATGGCACGGTAGCTTCACGAAATAGTGCCAAAGATATTCATTGGGGTGTCTTTTTACTCAGAAGACTTAGCCAAGCATAATTTGGGGGGTTTGAACTTAGTGGCACATGTGAAATATACAAAATGCCCAGCAAAAATGCAATCCATATGTAAAAAACGCACAAAATAATTTTTTTATCACATACTTTAGCATATATTGGTGAAAAAATGGGGACAAGTTAAGGCACAATATGCACCTTATGAGATACCATGGAGTGTCTACTTTTACAAATGGTAGGCTTTTGTGGATTTTTTTTTGAACAGTCAAACTACTATAATACCCCAAATGGAAGCATAGGCTCATTAAATCCGTCTCTCAAAATTCTACTGTGAATACTGAAAACGACAGGTATCCTATATGGCACTGTAACTTCACGAAATAGTGCCAAAGACATACAATGGGGGTGTCATTTTACTCAGCAGATGTAACTGAACACAAAATAAAACGTTGTACAGGAATAGCACACACCAACTTTACAAAATTTGTGTGCCAAAAACCAAAAAAACCCCACAATTTTACTCCAATATTTAGCAGAGGTTGGCGGTGAAATGGCTACGTAGAAAGGGTCAAAACCACCTTAGGTAAATAGCCTGTGATGTCTACTTTATATAAATATACACTTTTGTGTGTCAATTTTGTTTTCTTTTATGGCTATTAAGCTTACAAGACAAACATACCAAATTCTAAAATTGCTCCACATTAAAAGTTTATTTTACTCCTTGTGCTTTGTGACCTGTAACTACCAAAAAAAACTTAAAATCCCAGACACATTATATATTCTGTAAATCAGAACAACTAAATGAATTTATTTTTAATTACTTTCCTTAACTTGCACTAATTGTGCACACATTATTATTGCAAAAACTGTAAAAAAAACACATTTGCATTTTTCTTTTTTTTTTTTATAATAAATAAGCATATTATATATATATATATATATATATATATATATATATATATATATATATATGTGTGTGTGTGTGTGTGTGTGTGTGTGTTACATCAAATTAAAGCCCTTTCTGTCCTTTAAAAAACGGTATATAATATGTGTCGGTGCAATAAATTAGTAAAATGCAAATTGTAGTTGAACATAAACAGCAAAAAATGCAAAAAATGCTGTTCATTGCTGTACATTTATAAATATGGACTAGATCATTTTTTTCTTAGGTCTTCAATTATTTCAACATTGTTTGATACAGATGGATCACTGGCCATATTTCTATACACTGATTTAATCTCAATACAAAACTCTTTTCTATATCAAGATTAATATTGCATGAATTACACAAATAGCAGTGCCTCCAAATTACTGTGTGAAATATAATTTCAGCTAATGATCTCAGCAGTGTGCCTCCAAATTGTGGGGATATTTATGGGGTGAATATAAAAAAATAATATTTTCATAAAAATTATCAAAAATTTATTTAATAATTTTTATTATATTAAAATGTATATTGAGAATTACCCACTATTTAATTCTCTTAGATCCTAGAGCAAGTCATCAGAGGATTTTACTCCACACAGTAAAGTACAATTTCTTATAAAAATATAATTTATTGTGACAATAATAATAAAATAATAATATGTAACATGCGTGATAATAATCAGTGAATATTTAGTATAACATAGGTATACAAAATGGCAATGGTTTAACACAATACAGCAACTACAAGCAATCAGCTGTTAAGAGATTTATGATATGGTACTTCACACAGAACACAGAACTCACAGCACAGCGAGAAGCAATAAAACCTGGGCTAATAGATCAACTGAGTAACCCTTTCAATGCTGGCTGCAATCCTCCTAGGCATATAATGTCCTATTCTGTTGTAATTTTTCAATTAAAGCAATGTTCATACCAGATCATTAACCATTCCTGGAACCATCAAATAAAAATAATCTACCAGATTTTACATTAGCCGAATTTTAACTTCCCTAAATAAGATTCTTTATCTTATTTCAGAGCAATTCAATACAACTGGATAAATGTGGCATGCTAACATCTGTTGGTAAATATTACCGTTAATATATTGTTAATTTTTATCCAGGAATATATTCCTGCGATTAGTAAATTTTTAATTATTTTAAATTAATTAAATAAAATGAGCATAATTACCAATTATGTTGTAGATGTTCTTATCAGATGAGTAGATAGTCCCAGGAATCGAATGCAAGTATGATTGGATGTATAGAGGTGTGCATGTAATAGAGAAAGTGGTGTTGGTTTGAAAGTAATAGTAAAATTTTAAGTGTCCAGGAAGTGTTTCTTGAGTTGTGTCCAAGAGAGTTTGAATGTGTTCAATGAGTATAAGTCTTTGAATGTCAGATTTGAGTGTCAGTCCTAGAGAGTTGAAGGTCTGAATGGGTGTATATCTTAATCCCTCTCTCTTCCCTTTGTTCTTACTTTTTAAAGGGCCAACTCTCTGCACGTCATTAGTTGATAAGGCCAATAGGGATCTGTAGGTGTGTTTAGTTTACAGACTATCATCTAGTTTATGGTCAGTAGATGGCGCAGTTACATCACCAAAATTTCTTGTCCTGGAATGAGTTAACTTCATTTGATGATGATTTCAATGTCATTTTGGCTTATCTATAATGGCCACTATAACACAAATTTGCTGCCAGTTCTCTTACCCAGACTTCGTGTCAGGCATATACCTTTAAATCTACTTTTTGACATGTCTAAACTTTCCTTTACCTCTTGCTTACAATGGTACTTTGTAAGATTTAGAAAGTAAAATTAATTACTAAGTATTATCTGTAACTTGTGTCTGTGTTTAAAATTATTTCTATTCCATTAACATTAAGAGTATTACATCCCCCTTCTTTGTTAGATTCATTGCCTTGTTTACATAAAGCATTCCTTAGCTCAGGCTTGAAAGAACAGAAATTCGGTGTGTCTGTTAGCCAGTAAATACAAAATGCAGTCAGCTCTGTTCTGAGTGACTCTGGCAATATACACTTTTAATTTTTGTCTTAGCACAAAATGTCTGCCGATATAAATATACTGACAGAACGTTTTTCCCCCAAGACAGTTGTGTGCTGTCAATTGACCTATTTGACACTATTCCAAACTGGGTGGCCGTCGATTCCTATGCATGAATATGTGGCAGTGGCCATCTTGTTTTGTTGAATGCGGGGTTTGGTCGTCGAGTCTCTGGAACTATTTTTGGAAACACTCAATGGCCCGAACACCGCTGAGATTCGTCCTAATTCATACGAAGGAGGCGGCATTTGGTAAAAACAACGCACGAACAAAGAGGCACATGACTACTTTACGCACAAACAATTATGAAAGATATTGTTCGACATTTTGAACTGCACACCAACTGAATTCATGGCCGGGCAGAAATGGGACTTCCATATAACTTTTGAATCCCTGAACCGATCTGGGTGATTTTTGAATATGTTGTTCCCCCAGATCGGGGTTATCAGGAGATGTACGTTTTATGGGGTTCTTATGTGATTTTGGGGTGTTTTCAGAAATTTATTTTTAAAAATCCTTTTTTTGTTTGGAGATAATTGAGATGATATAGTAATTAGCTCAATTATCTCCAAGGCAAAGGGGAGGGATTGTATGCCATCTGTGGGAGTGTCTCAGATTACAATGCTATTGTGATTGGTGTGTACATTTGTGTCCCTGTCCCCAACAAGGGAGCCATGTAACAGATGCCCTGTTCGCTGGACTTATATTTTGTTGCCATCCTGAAATGTATTTGTAATGCCATTTGCCTAAAACAAACTAAGACGTATACCGAATGTTCGTCACCCTTGCTTGGGGACTTGCATAAAAGGCCAGTGTGGCTGCCATTAAAATTCAGTTCTGCTTAACCCTCAACACGTAGCCTTGTCTCGTGCTTGTAGGGAACCTGCTTCACAACTAATCACTAGCTCTTGTAAGAGCTTTACTATCTATACGGATAATTGGTCAGCTAAGATGACATCTGGAAAACACTGCAGCACTGCTCCTTCCAAGGGAAAAGGACATCCCTAACGGTGTACACCCCTTGATACTCAGGGTGGCCGTTACATTGGTGGCAGCGGTGAGATGGTCCTTTTATCCCCAGAGAAAGTGCTGACCGGATGGAGAGTCAGTATGAGAAGCTGAAACGACCAACTTTGAAAGACTTGCTGGAGAGCTGGGGACGCATTGCAAGTAACCAACCATGGAGAGACTTAATCGCTGATCTGCTGGAGTTAGACGAACCAGACCGTACGACAGAAATGGCCAAACTAAATGTCTCGAACCTAGAGGAAGATGAAACTCTACACATTGTTCAGGCACGTTTGGCGATGTATGGGCCGAACCCGTCGTAAGAATGGATCGACCAAATGTTCCGCACTGTGGAGGCTGAAGTTCGTGAAAGGAGGGTACACCAACTGCAACTGGTAAGAGCCCAGCAACCTGCCATACCAGAGGCAGCTACCCATACCCCGGCAGCGGACTGTAGAATGGTCCCATTTGCAGCTTTCAAGGCATTCGTAGAGACAGACGGAGAAATTTACGGTTACCTGGCAGACTTCGAGAGACAGTGTGCCTTGCATCAGGTACCCTATGAACAATTGGTCACCATTTTATCAGGCACATTATGTGGGAAAGCATCTGAAGCTTTCCGAGCCATTCCCAACGAGGATGTCAACCAGTACCACTTGGTTAAAGAAACCCTCCTCACCCATTATGCTGTCACCTCGGAGGCATACCGCCGCCGTTTTCGGGAATCAATAAAGAGGGGATTCACACATGGAATGGGCATGACGCTTACATCGCATTACTTCCCATTGGATTACAGGGTGTAAAGCCAGCACAACTGTTTTTACTAGAACATTTTTTGCTTGGACTACAACCTGAACTACAAGAGTGGGTAAGAGATCAGCGACCCCTCACTTTGAATGACGCTGCTCGATTGGCAGATGAATATGCTGATACCAGGAGGGTCAAACCACCCTGAGAGCCCCCTCCCCGCACAGAATCCCGGGCACAAAAAGAGAGTGGGGAATCCAAAAAGAGAGTGGGGGATTCACACATGGAATGGGCATGCTGCTTACATCGCATTGAATCCCAGGCCCACTAAGTCCTGGGCCCTTGCTCCCGGTTATCACCCCAAATTCAGTGCTCCTGTTCCACCTGGCCCCTCTCACTACCAAGGGCCACCTAAATACCCACGGGATCAAACAAAGATCCAGTGTCATCGGTTCCATGGATGGGGCCACATGAGTGCTAGTTGTCCGTTAGGGCCCTCCGCCCAAACCTGGAGATGTCCCACACCCATAGCCGATCCTACACTACCCCGTACCCTAGCAGTTCATTGTGTGGGAACTGAAATCGGTGCCGAGGAATATCTGGCGGACCCCATACAAGCTGAGTCCCCAGACAACCGACAACAGCATCGACAAGAGGTCCAAGTAAATGGACAAGTAGCCCAAGGACTACGAGACACGGGCGCTACCATCACCCTGGTCCAGAGACACTTGGTCAAGCCAGAGGATTGTTTTAAGCACTGTACGGGTAGCCGGGGGAGCTGTGTTTTGCCTCCCTACTGCCCGTGTTCACCTTGATTGGGAAGCTATATCCAGCATGGCAACCGTAGGGATTATGGACAAAATGCCTGCCGAAGTCCTATTGGGAAATGAAATAGGACCCTTAACTTCAGCATATCTACCCACTACACCCGTTACAGTGACAACCCATTCTCAAGCTCAAACAGCAGGAACCCGTTCACCAGGCTGGTAGACCCAGGTAAGAACCCAACCGACCCCTACCCCGACAGTAGACAAAAACCCTTTAGCTTGGGACACTCCTGAGGAGTTTGGGAGGGAGACCAGAGAGGACCCATCCCTACAGAAGTATAGGGAGAATGCAGAGACAGGGGAGACGAGAACAAAAGATTTGTCTGGGAACAAGATAGACTGTACAGGTTGACGGAAAGCAATAAGACCGGGGGAGCCCCATCCCAGATGCGACATCTGGTGGTCCCTAAGAAATATTGGTTGGAGCTTCTCTGGATGGGGCATGACGTCCCTTTGGCAGGACACCTGGGGGGAAATTGCATGACCTATTGAGTAACCTAGACCTTCTTCTGGCCGGGGGTCTCCAAGGATGTGTGACAATACTGTAGGACTTACGATGTCTGTCAATCAGTAGGGAAAAGGGGGGGGATCATCCCAAAGCTCGGCTGCTATCCATGCCTATTATTGACGAGTCCTTCAGCCAGATAGCCGTCGACTTGGTTGGACCCCTACCAACCCCCAGTCCATCCGGTAAGAAATACATTCTCACCATGTTGTACTCCGCTACCCGGAAGCCGTTGCCCGGTCGAATAATCCAGGTAGACACTGTTGCCAGTGCCTTGGTCAAGATCTTCGCAAGGGTAGGGTTCCTGAAAGAGATCCTGTCTGACCAGGGAACACAATTTACCGCAGACCTTACCCAGCAGTTATGGTAGGTCTGCGGGATCAAACTCCTACTCAGCTCACCATATCACCCACAGACCAACGGTCTCTGTGAACATTTCAACGGTACCCTAAAGCAATTGCTGAGGACCTTCACAGATGAGTACAGAGACTGGGAGCGATTCCTGCCGCACCTCTTGTTTGCGTATCAAGAGGTGCCCCAGGAATCAACTGGGTTTTCTCCCTTTGAACTGCTTTATGGGAGGAGGGTGCGAGAACCCCTCGATCTCATACGCGAGCACTGGGGAGTATGGAACTGGAAAATGGAACACGAGAGGGTCCCCATCGTCTCATATGTACTGGAACTTCGGGACGGCATGGAGCAGTTAGCCCGGATGGTACGGGACAACCTTCAGGCGGCCCAGGGGTGACAGAAAGTATGGTACGATCGGGGGCCCCGGCAGTGGTCGTTCCAGGTGGGACAAAAAGTCATGATGCTAAAACCTGAATAAGCTCCAGGCATCATGGCAGGGACCTTACAAAATGGTAGCGCAGATTTGCGACACCACATATGTAATTGCCAGTAGTGTCGAAAAGAGAGTAAGGAAGACCTTTCACATAAACATGATGAAGGAATATCAGGAAAGGCAGGGGGACACAGTTGCTTTATGACAATCCTCACGTTGACCTTCTTAATATGGTAAAACTAGGTGAGCGACTAAACCCTGAGGAGAGGGGCCAAATCAGACAGTTGCTAGAAGGGAAAAGACCGACATTCTCCAAAGAACCCGGGTTCACAACCTTAGCTACTCACCGAGTAGAAACCCCAGGCCAAGCCCCGCTCAGGCAACCCCCTTACCGCATCCCTGAGGCTGTCAGGGAAGGGATGAGAAAAGAGATCCAAGACATGCTCAAGTTGGGTGTTATTGAGCCCTCAGACAGCCCTTGGGCTTCCACAGTAGTTCTAGTACCTAAAAAGGATAGGACCATGTAGTTTTGTTTGGATTACAGATGACTTAATGACCGGACAGCGACTGACGCCTACCAAGGTAGATGAGCTCCTAGATCCTATAGCGAGGGGTCATTATTTGACCACCATCGATCTCTGCAAAGGTTATTGGCAGATTCCCCTGGCCAAGGAGGCTATCCCCAAGTCAGCCTTTGCCACCCCGTTTGGCCTATACCAATTTAAGGTTATGCCATTCGGGATGAAAAATGCCCCAGCCATTTTCCAACGCTTGGTGGATAGACTCCTTGATGGCTTCCAGGATTTCACTTGTGCATACCTGGATGATATAGCGATCTACAGCGAGTCCTGGGAAGAACACTTGGTACATGTAGGGGCCATACTGGATCAGATTCGGGCCACTGGCCTGACCCTGAAACCGGATAGATGCCATCTGGGCATGGCCGAAGTCCAGTACCTGGGACACTGGGCAGGGTGTGGGAAACAGCGACCAGAACCTGAAAATATTGAGGTAGTCGCCAACTGGCCCACACCCCACACTAAGACCCAAGTACTGGCCTTCCTGGGGACAGCAGGGTATTACAGACCGTTCATACCCGACTACAGTGCCATCGCCAAGCCCTTGACGGACCTGACTAAAATGAACCTATCCAGACAAGTTCTGTGGTCTCCCACCTGTAAAACAGCATTCCAAGACCTAAAATATGCATTGATTCATGCTCCTGTATTGGCTGCCCCAGTCAATGTTTTGTCGTCCATACAGACGCTTCCATGTACGGAGTGTGGGCAGTTTTGAGCCAGGTTGGAGAGGACAGAGGAGAGCACCCTGTCGCGTACCTTAGCCGACTAGCAATTACTACTCAGAGAAGTGAGTTACGCGGAAGTGGAGAAGGAGTGCCTGGCCTTGGTGTGGGCCCTGAAAAAACGGACTCCCTATTTGTATGGCCAGGAATTTATTCTCATCACAGACCACAACCCGTTGGTGTGGCTAAACCAGGTTGCAGGTGATAACGGCCGGCTATTGCGGTGGAGCTTGGCGCTCCAACCTTATAACTTCTCCATCCAATACCGGCCCGGCAAGCAGAATGGCAATGCCGATGGATTGTCTCGGCAAACAGAACTCAGTCTGTAGCAGCGGTCTGGACATCCCAAAGTTGACCTGAAAAAGGTCAAGTCGGGTCTGCCGGAGTGTTCCACATAGGGGGAGCCATGTAACAGATGCCCTGTTCGCTGGACTTATATTTTGTTGCCATCCTGAATTGTAATGCCATTCGCCTAAAACGAACTAAGACGTGTACCGAACGTTCGTCACCCTTGCTTGGGGACTTGCATAAAAGGCCAGTGTGGTTGCCATTAAAATTCAGTTCTGCTTAACCCTCAACATGTAGCATTGTCTCGTGCTTGTAGGGAACCTGCTTTACAACTAATCACTAGCTCTTGTAAGAGCTCTACTATCTATTTGGATACTTGGTCGGCTGAGATGACATCTGGAGAACAATGCAGCACTGCTCCTTCCACCCCTTGATACTCAGGGTGGCCATTACAACGCTCTTGACTAGTGATGCACCGAACGGTTCGCTGGCGAATAGTTCCTGGCGAACATAGCATGTTCGCATTCGTCACGGCGGGCGAACATATGTGTGGTTCGATCCGCCCCCTATTCGTCATCACTGAGTAAACTTTGACCCTGTACCTCACAGTCAGCAGACACATTCCAGCCAATTAGCAGCACACTCTCCCTAGCAGACCCTCCCACCTACTGGACAGCATCCATTTTAGATTAATTCTCAAGCTGCATGCTTAGTGAGAGGAGGGAAAGTGTAGCTGCTATTGATTTGATAGGGAAATGTATAGCTAGGTTAGTGTATACAGTGTCCACTACAGTCCTGAAGGACTCATCTGATCTCTGCTGTAAGGACAGCAC